TAGTGACACTGGGCCTCCTAAGGGCCGTAGAAAGAGTGGGCCTTCTACGGGCCGTAGAAACAATGGGCCTTCTATGGGCCATAGAAACAATGGGCCTTCTACGGGCCGTATCATCAATGGGCCTTATACGGGCCTTATGATCGATTGGCCAAACATGGGCCAAACAGACCGCATTATGGCCATAAACGGGCTAGAGTTGGAATCATCCGTTCATGGGCTGACCATAACGGGCCATCTTTAATAGGCCGTATTTGATGACGCTATGAAAATGGCCCAACGTATTAACGGACCACAAACGGGCCGACTGTAACCACGAGCTGAATTTGGCCCACAAGCAGAAAATGACAGTAACGGGCCGTAAGTAAACGAATGCTGGAAATGAGCCCAAGAATAAATGGGCTCTGAGAAGGCCGAAAGATAACATGGGCTAGAAATGGACCAACGGAGTAACGGGCCGTTAATGGGTATAAGGTGATACACTGTTCATTACGGGCCAGTTTCACCACGGGCCATTAATGGGTGTAAAGTGATACACTGTTCATTACGGGCCAGTTTCACCACGGGTCGTTAATAGGCCAAGAGTTACAAAGGGCCTCATATGGGCCGAAAGACATCATGGGCCATACATGGGCCAGAAGTGAAAACGGGCTGGAATCATATTGGATGGCCCAGATGACGCTACTGGGCCTAATTCGGATAGGGCGTAACGGGCCCTGGGTTAGCGGGCTGTAAATGGGCTATATGCGAACATGCCGTTAACAGGCTTTCCATGGGCCGGCCCTCCACCTTTTGACCAAGTCAAATGGCCGGCCTTTTCACAGGAATGGGCCTCTGTTGGGTCATTCCACGTGTCGACGTATCATAGGCGCCTTCTGTCCATGAGTGGATTACCTCTGTCCCAATGATGAGCCGACATGTGTTTCCTCCAGCCAATGATGATTTTACACGTGGAAAATCCCCATTGGTCGGGGCTGTTAACGGGTTATCGGATCCAAAACCCGACCCGATAGCTTAACGGCGTTCCGTTACGGTGGATGCCACGTGTCGGTCACCCTTGACGAAAGCACTTCTGTGACACGCGATTTATCGTCATGGAAGTGGACACTTCTGTGATGATAATTTTGATAATGTCATGGAACACTTCTACGACAGCACAGGTATGACTATCTTGATTCTATCATAAAATCGTCATGGATGTACATGCATGACAAAAAACGCGACCTACTGTGACAAACACGTATCATCACGGAAGTGTATCTTTTTGTAGTGTAGAGTGACAGAAGCTTAAACCCTAGTTTATGCGTTGCTTCGTAAGGGGCTGATTTGGATCCATATGTCTAATGTTGTGGTTAGGTTTACCTTAATACTTCTTCTGTAGTTGCGGATGCTTGCAATAGGGGTTAATCATAAGTGGGATGCTTGTCCAAGTAAACGCAGTACCCAAGCACCGGTCCACCCACACATCAAATTATCAAAGTACCGAACGCGAATCATATGAGCGTGATGAAAACTAGCTTGACGACAATTCCATGTGTCCTCAGGAGCTCTTTTCTCATTATAAGAAATTGTCCAGGCTTGTCCTTTGCTACAAAAAGGATTGGGCCATCTTGATGCACTTTATTTACTTTCATTGCTTGTTACCCGTTACGAATTATCTTATCACAAAACTATCTATTACCTATAATTTCAGTGCTTGCAGAGAAAACCTTACTGAAAACTGCTTGTCATTTCCTTCTGCTCCTCGTTGGGTTCGACACTCCTACTTATCGTAAGGACTACGATAGATCCCCTATACTTGTGGGTCATCATAGGTCGAGTGGTTTCCTGTATGGTCGAGTGGTTGACTGGTCGTGTGACTTCGGGAAAGAGGGGTATCCGAGTGGTTCGTTGGTCGAGTGGATTGCACTCGACATCTTTACTGGGTACCCCTTGTTGTCTCTTGAGCTTTTTTTCTTCTAGGGTAGTGACCTTAGGTAGGGTGTATAGGTCAGGCCTGTGACCCTACCCTAGGTCTGTATCCTCATCAGTCGCCGCCCTCCTTGTCCAATTCGGACTAGAGGGGCAGGGGCGCACGGCTGCCCTGGCTGCCCCTCCTTTTCTCCCACTAAGGCCCATTAGGCCCAATATACTCCCCGGGGGGTTCCAGTAACCCCCTGGTACTCCGGTAAATGTCCGAAAACATCCTGAAACACTTCCCGTGTCCGAACATAGTCGTCCAATATAGTGATCTTTACATCTCGACCATTTCAAGACTCCTCGTCATGTCCGTGATCATATCCGAGACTTCGAACTACCTCTGGTACATCAAAACACAAAAACTCATAATACCTATCGTCACCGAACTTTAAACGTGCGGACCCTACGGGTTCGAGAACTATGTAGACATGACCGAGACACGTCTCCGGTCAATAACCAATAGCAGAACCTGGATGCTCATATTGGTTCCTACATATTCTACGAAGATCTTTATCGGTCAAACCGCATAACTACATACGTTGTTCCCTTTGTCATCGGTATGTTACTTGCCCAAGATTGGATCGTCGGTATCTCAATACCTAGTTCAATCTCGTTACTGGCAAGTCTCTTTACTCATTATGTAATGCATCATCCCGCAACTAACTCATTAGTCACATTGCTTGCAAGGCTTATAGTGATGTGCATTACCGAGAGGGCCCAGAGATACCTCTCCGACAATCGGAGTGACAAATCCTAATCTCGAAATACGCCAACTCAACAAGTACCTTCGGAGACACCTGTAGAGCACCTTTATAATCACCCATTTACGTTGTGACATTTGGTAGCACACAAAGTGTTCCTCCGGTAAACGAGAGTTCCATAATCTCATAGTCATAGAAACATGTATAAGTCATGAAGAAAGCAATAGCAACATACTAAACGATCAAGTGCTAAGCTAACGGAATGAATCAAGTCAATCACATCATTTTCCTAATGATGTGATCCCGTTAAGCAAATGACAACTCATGTCTATGGTTAGGAAACTTAACCATCTTTGCTTAACGAGCTAGTCAAGTAGAGGCATACTAGTGACACTATGTTTGTCTATGTATTCACACATGTATTATGTTTCCGGTTAATACAATTCTAGCATGAATAATAAACATTTATCATGATATGAGGAAATAAATAATAACTTTATTATTGCCTCTAGGGCATATTTCCTTCACGAGGAACCCTCCATAATTTTCCCATAGTGGATCCCACACACACACACACACACACTTGCACTGCCGAGATGGCTCAGCTTTGCCAAAACAACCTAGGCTAACGTTCTGATCCACGGCCCATGACCACTCACTCACGGATGGCGGTCGCGCGCTACGGAGAAGGCCCACATGAGCGCATTGTAGCGAGGTGTATATGACTTGTATCTTTATTTTTTCTTGGTGCGACTCTGCCGTCTCTGACAGACTTTCTACAATCCCTAGGCACGAACCTAAGGCTCAGATTTCGGGCTCATTTAAGCCCGAGCACCAAAATGCCTCATCCAAATCTACACTGTTATGATCTAGTATCTCAAAACCATCATAAAACACTTACTCTAAACTGTTATGATATAGTTATACATTTTGTATCTGGGGCAAATTAAAATAATTGTTTTTTACTAAACTTTTATACTTCTTTAAAATTATCATACTACACTTTTAGGAGTATATATTTTTATTACTTAGCAGATATAGTTAACCACATGATATAGTTGCTAAATTTTACTTACATTTTTTGTCGTTATACATTCATGATATATATCACTGCAATTTTTTGCTCCAGGTAAAAATTAAACTATTTGTCAAAAAAATCATTTTGAATTAATATTGACAATTTCATAAATTATATTTTTTACACATTTATAGTTGCATGTGATATCTTAGTACAATTAAATATCATGGTAGAGATCTCCATAATGTAACTTATCTCATAATAGTTGTTTTTAGTGTACTAGTAAGCTTGCACGTGCAACGCACGTCTTCACTAATTCATTTTTCAGAGATACATCTACTCTCAATCAAATACTTCTTGCTTACGTCTCTCTCATATTACCATATTAAGGAAGCACATACGTAGAAATATAAATTTAACTGTTCTCAATGTGTGTTGCAGATTGTGTTCATAATACATTGGTGACATGTGCATGCTCTATACTTTGTATTGACAGGATATCACATCTCTAATTGTTGGCAAACATGAAGATTTCATTTATCCGGCTTTTGCACATGCACGATTTGATTATTCGATATGCACATCTAGAATGCCTTGATTTGATTTGGTGTATACAAAGGCTCTTGCTGGTTTCTGCAAACAAAAGTTGTGCACACTAGTAAAGATTGAACTTTTCTTGTAAACATTAGAGCAGGCTGAATAAGCGTTGGAAGTAGTTGATGGCGTGCAAGTGCACATACCTTTGTTGTAGCCTTTTTGAAGTAATAGTATTGATTCTACAGGGAGCACAAGAATTAAACTTTTGACCATTATAGACACTTAAATGAGCAGAGCATAACGAGTATAATGTCGGAACTAGCAGAGGAGTAAGGTGTTCTCAGGAAGTCCAGTATAATGTGGGAACTAGCAGAGGAGTAGCATAGTTCTAGCCGAAAACTCAAAACGGTGCCCGGGCTCATCTGCTTCCTCTCAGCAAAAAATTCAAAAACAATACCAGAAAAATTCAAAAAATTCCAATTTTTTTTGTGGTGGTAGATAATTTGACGCGTGAGGTGCGCCCCAAAATTCAACTTATTTGGACATCTGAGCAGCTCTCGGCAAAAAAGACAAATCGGGTCAAAACAGTGCGTGAACAGTAAACATTTTTACAGACCCTGATTTTGTCTTTTTTGCCGAGAGCTGCTCAGATGCTCAAATGAGTTGAATTTTGGGGCGCACCTCACGCGTCAAATTATCTACCACAAAAAAATGGAATTTTTTGAATTTTTCTAGTATTTTTTTTGAATTTTTTTCTAAGCGTGGGTGCAGATGAGCCCGGGTGCAGATTAGCCGCACTCCTGTTCTAGCTGGATACTTGAGCCACTCTTAACATTGAAGAGGTTCTACTCCGAACCAAAAATACCTCTCCTAGTAGGTAGGTGAAACTATATGGATAGTGATAGTCCTTGGCTCCAGCGGCCTCGTCGACGACGACGGAGATCGTGCCCTCGTCGAGTAGGCTGTATAACTCACGGGTGCGGCGCTGGTTGCTCCAATGGTGCAACTTCCACAAGTACCCCACCAAGAGCCCCAGGCTCATCCCGTACACGATCTCCCTCACCACGCTTGGCGACCGCTGACCCTTCATTCTAGCACCAACCGCTCACGCCGCCTGCGTCGCCACCCTATGCGTCGTCGTCCACATTGCAAATGGCACCTACCTCCGTCTTCTTGTGCGTAGCTGCTTTGCAACAAAGCGTCCGAGTAAATGATGCTTTTGATGAAGGAGAGGAACCGAGCGTGGCAGCCCTGTGAGGCACCGTGTCGGCCGAGGCGGCGGGCGCGTGGCGCGCGTGCGGTGCGCTCCCTCCAAGCGGCGCCGTCACATGCCACCTCGTAGTCCGCGCATAGGGCTAGACGCGGAGGAAATGCCCATATGGCTCTAAATAGGCCGGCCCAGATAACGTCTCAATATTCAAAATCAGAAATTTCCTATTCACATGGCAGGCTTTTTTTGACTTCTTGATAAGGCGGGTGTTTGCTCCACATCCTGCGCCACTTAGATGGAGGGCGATGACAAGCAGCGCGCACTATATGTGTGTTGTTTGCCGTAACATGTGAGTTTTTTTTTTCGTAGATTCGTTTATTCAAAACGCTAATACGTGCATCCAAATCTCGAATCGTTTTCATTGTTGGATTTCTCGTGTTCGGATCTTCAAAACTAGATCTTATGTT